CATCATCATCATCATCATCATCATCATCATCATCATCATCATCATCATCATCACCATCATCATCACCTTCATCATAACACTGATGATGATAATAAATAAAAACAATAATAATAACAATGATAGAAATAATAAGAATAATAACAATGGCAATGATAGAGCGCTCAACCCTAATTAAAATATAATACAGGCTATGAGCCCTTTACAATACAACTGTTACACATAATCGGCGCATTTGTGTTCTGACCAAAATAAAATCTCTCTAAATATGTATCTGCAGTGCTATAAAAAAAACAAACATGGACGGTCAAGACTGTGCCTTTTCTTGGTTACTTTTTTTTTCTTAGAAAGACAAAAAAATGACATCCCTAGATTTTGTTTTCCTTACATACTGCTCTGCATAAGCTTTTTGTGGTTGGGGATTTCATGTGGCTGATTAAACCAAGCCTTCGCATCCCGTTTGGTGTCTCAGAAAAGCCAAAAATCATGGCCACATACAAAACAACACTGCTTTCACTTTTTAAAATTTAGTCTTTGTAGTTTTACGGCACGTGCAACACAGATAGGTCACGAAAGTGCCGGTGCTATATAATAGGTGTAACTGGCGATTAACATACAAAGATAAAAAGGAGAAGAGATAAGGACGATAGAATAATGTTTGAAAGAAGGATCAATCCCCATCAGAGCACCCGCCAACCAACAACTCACCCATCATAATAATATGGTCTGTGCGCGGATGGTCTGGTTTGGTCGCGATTTCTAATATGTGAGGCAGCGTGGAGGAATCAGGCTCTCGTCAAAATAATCAAAGTGAAGAAACTTGCATTTTTCAGATGGTTCGTGAATTTTTATCAAATTTTTGTTTTTGGGCTCAACACCTTTCAAGCCCATTAAAGAATTCATTTCTATGTGGATTTTCAGAAAAACGTTGATTTAAGGCTCAAAAAATGTAAATTTTCAGTTACCACGGACTCTAAAGTAAGGAAATACCTCATCTTTGGCGGCCATTTTCTCACTAATTTTACCTCTGAAAACAAGTGACCCCCACCTCCTTCATTCTCAAAAATCTCGACTTGTAGTTGAAATAAAGACAAGTGAGCAAGCTTTAAGATGATGCCAATAACTCTACATACCCAAAAATTGACGAGAGCATGATTCCACCATGCTGCCTCACATAATATGTCGGTGTTTTTCCGCCCCTATCGACACAATTTAGATTGTAATTTAGCGGGCGTCTGTCCGACTCTGCCTGTCAGGGTCAACCTAGGCTGAGATTGATGCATCCCAACAGAAAGACCGAGACACTCGATAACATTTTCTCCCACTCAGAATTCGAACTCGGGCCCTCTGCGTGCAACAGGGAAGCGCTTAACAGCTACATCACAGACGCCGTAGGGGGCGATTGCGAGTGAAAATGTTTTTCTCGGTGACTTCGGTGACCTCCCAGGGACGAAGGATGATGAGTTTGAAAAAGTAATTGAAGTGAGACAAAGAGACAGATAGAAAGGACGGCACACACGAAAAACTGTCTTACAATTGGAGCATAATTAATAAAACATCTTACTTAGTTGTAAATGAAAACAAATCCTGAATTCATATTGTATATTCATACGCCATAATAACTGAGAAAATTTCCCATTAAATAATTTTATTCCCTTACTGGGTAAAACTTAATTATAACTGTTAAACGCACGGTGAGATTAATGTCTCAAGATTTTTCAACGTTACATTTAACCTATAAAGAGGTGAATACACATACACAAGGCAAAGAAGCAGAAGTGAAAATACAAACATATATGTATTTGTTATTTAGTTTCAAATTTGGTTGTCTTTGTCTTGCCTTTCGTTGCCAGGAAATCATATCATAATCTGATTACAGAACAGTAAAAAGTCGAGGAAAAAACACGAGATTATTAAGAGTTCACTTCTTTGAGGTAGATTCTGCCAATCCAATTGTCAGCTTACATAATCAGTGTTATTGACTGCTTATGACAGTGGCACGAATTTATGCTGC